TTAAATACCTACGTAGCTATTAATAGTCTTTGTACTGGACTTGATAATTAATTACATGTTTTCATTTATCTACTATCTGAAAAAATATAAATCATGAAATCTGTAAACATTTCGTGCTTTGATTATAATTAAACAAACACTGCATCATCATAGCCAGCAATTTTTTTTTTATTAAATTACCCATGTTCCTTTATTATTTTAATAAGCCAGTTACATTGAAAATGTGCATTAAATCATCTCATTTTTCACGACGCAACGTACTTTGTTCGACCGAATTTTCTCTAATGTCAAAATTAAAGCAAGTTGTGGGAAACTGAAACAATTAAGAAAAAACTTTGTAATCTTCGTTAAAACACGTCATATATTTATTTACAACTAAAAAATTATATGTCTTATCCGTACTGTACCCAGGGACCTATATACTAAGTAGTAAGTTAGTATATAGGTCCCTGCTGTACCGTACTATTCTTGGGTCGAAACGCTTTATCCCCATACAAAAAAATTGATGTAGTAAAAAAGTCATACTTTTTCTATGCATCGTGTGTAAATGATACAACACAGATTGCATGGTTGTGAAGTATCTATGAATGATCCACATTCGTGTTTTTTTCGTCTATTCTCCCATACGACACGTCTTCATAGTTGTCCTCCGGTTCCCTCGTACGCGGCCGCCATACTTGTTATGATAATACGAAACGAAGACGCTCATTGATGATGTAAAAATTTTCTTTGAATTCATTAATTAATAAAAATTATATTGATTTTTAAAATTTAATTCCAGTGAAAAATTATTCAGATAGTCTTTGTTATTTTTTAAAATAAAAATATTGGGAATTCGAAACTATATCCTAGCTCTGCCTTACATTTTTAAGAACCCAAGTTTCCATTGGTCAAGACGAAAGGCGCAAACTTGAAATGCGCAAGACGTTGGAAATGTGAATTGAAAGAGTAGGAGGACTGATATTAAAGTATTATAATTAGCGTAGTCATTCTTTGTCAGCCTCTTAAGGAAATAACAGAATACGAAGAAGGAAGAATATATATATTCAGAGGATCAATCTACTTTGCAGCCATAACTGAAGAGATTAGTGGTGAGTTACAAAAAATGGTAGGCAATCACTGACTTAATCATTTAATCAGATATCTGTCGGTAGATGTTACTCTATTTGTTAAATTATTATGCTTTTTATTAAATGAAGACTTTGCCAAACTTTGCTTTGAGTGGGGATCCAACCAAAGTAACATACATTAATTATAGATAGGCTAGTTTATCAAAACATTCATAGGCCTATTGACCTACAACATGACAGCCGAGGGAAATAGGCAAACTTCCTCTCAGACTGCTCTATGGAAGAACTGCTACCCCTTCTAGATCTGCTTATGATGCATAAAACTAAAATTAATAAAACTTGCCAGAAAAGTTTAAGTTTTTTTTCCCCGTATCTTTAGCTAATGGCAGGGAAGTGGATAAAACCTAATTTTGGTAAATTTACAATAAGAATTCAAAACTTGTAGAGTATGTTTTTTTTTGAAAGGGGGGGGGGGGGAGGGGGTCCTGACCACTTTTACACTTGTAATCTAATGGTGCTTTAATTGATTAGATAAGGCACATACAAAGTGTTTTGACCCGACTGTGGATGCTAATAAGAGTTGTGTAAAATGAAAATTCTAAGTTAAAAGTCATATAATTGTTTTATTGTAAATTTCTAGATGACAAGAAACATCTTGAGAAAATAAAAGAAGGAACTGGAGAACTTAACCAAACATTTCAAGATGCATCAGTATGTATGAAAAGTTTCTTTTAAAGTGTAAGCCAAACAGTTCAACTCTCTTAAGTTAATGTATTAGAATAATTATACTTTCACAAATTAAAATGATTACACAGACATAAAATAGTCTATCATTAAAAATGAAATTTTTTTTTTCTAAATAGCATCCTGTTCCAGCAAACTATTTTCAAGGCAAACAAATTTGCTCCTAAAAAGAGCACCAGCTTCATCATCTGATTCAGCAACAGAAAGGCAGTCACCACCTCCCACATCACTAAATACTACAGGTAAATCAAGCAGGTTAATGTACCTAGTAACCTTTGAACTGTTTGCAGCATCTCTCTGCACTTACCTTTTTAATATCTTTTTTTTTTTTTTTAGGGAAAAAAAATCTTATTTTTGTTATAAATTGCCTGAAAATTTCTTTTAATTCTGTTTTAATAGGCACACTTTCTTCAGAAATTGACACTGAAGATTTGAACCATTAATTTAGGTCCAGGGAATCTTTAGACACAGACAAATTAGTACTTTTCATATTTAATTATGTTATAGTGTTTAAGCCATGATAAACTTTTAAGAATCATTGTTTAAATATTGGATGACCTACCCCGGTAGTCCTAGGTAAATTTATGATCCCCTTTGCAGTTTCGTTTGCAACTTTATGTCAATCTGTTTTGGTAAATGTAACTTTTTAGCATTACACACCAAAAGTTGCTTTTAATACTACACTTTTCAGCTAAATAAAGAGTATACTAGATATTTATAGATGAATTTTTTAAGGTGAATGTTCATGGCAACCTTCATTATAATACCATGTTTCAGTGTAAAAATGTTAAAGTTTAAGATTTGTTGATTCTCATTAGTTAAGAAATGTAACAGAAATCTTCATGGGCATTTTCAGAAAATCTTTGTTCTTGTAGGGAAAAGAGAAGCAGTTCATAAATGATGTTGATGAGTTGAGATCAGAAGATAAGAAACTCTGCAAAAAAATCCGGGCTCTTGAAAGAACAAAAGAAAGAAATGAAAATATGAAAGATATTCGATCAAAGGATCCAAATGAAGAAATTCTGGAAATTCTATTCTAAATGGAGAACCAAGAAGAATCTTGGAATTGACCATTTCTGCTCGAAAATGCTTGATAGCCCTCAAAGCTGTTGCCCTATTGCTAAACAGACTTTTCTCCTAGACTGGATTTAAAAACTGTTCCATTTCTGGCCCCCCAAAAAAACACTTTGAAATATGCTGAGGAAGGACCCTGCCCTCCTCTTGACCAAGTAAGGTTTAGGATTCTGCAAAGAGTCGTGTTTGAAATTTTTCATAATTTTACCAGGAGTGAACTACATGTACATGAGAAAATTCAAAACATTCAAAAAGTTGCAAGTAAGTGGTAAGGCAATTGCAAAGCCTTCAATTCTATGAAAATGTGTTGCCATTTGAATGCTGTTTTTTTAATTAAAAGAAGAGGGAGCTCAAATTCAGCTAATATGTGCAGTTCTATATGTCTGTCTGTAAACAGTGTTTCAAGATACTTCTACTCTTTCTAGTTTGTCACTTTAAATAAGAGTAAAATAAGATATACATGTATACATAATAGGGATGTCAAAATATTTATTTTCTTTAGTCGAATATTCGATTGCATTATTCGAACGATAGTCGAATATATTCGAAACTTTTTCGGAAGTTAAAATTTTATTTCAAACTTCACTGGTACATGACATGTTTAACTCAAAATCCTCTTTTCTTAAATTTATTAAGAAGTAACATCAAATGTTAAACACAAATGTTCACATAGACCTAAAATGTGGATAGCGTGTTTATATTTACTAAATATAGACCGCTCATTTCTCCAAAATGTATGATTTCCCTGTCAATCATGTTCATAAATCGGTCTGTAAAGTCGTTTTTTTTTTTTTAGGAAGCATAAAAAAAATAACAGTACGATATATTTTTTTTAAAGCTTATTTAAATGTATTGGGGGTGGGGGGCACACACGGTGTCTGTGATAATGTAAAATATTTGAATATACTTTTTGTACCATCTATCAAAATGTCTTTAAAATATGTAAAAGAATATTAATTTTATAATAATTATCGTAGTGTCCAAACATGTCACGGCTATAATGGGTGCATGTTATGAGATCAAGTCCAATTAATAATTTTACAAAGAAAGCGCAGTATAGCGAGATAATTTTATTACAAAAACAACACATTAATTGACAAATAATTCTCGCGAGAGTGAAGCATTTCTAATTACTGTACTTTCTTCATGTAAAGTCAACAGTTTTTAATGAGGAAAATTATCTTATCGACTGTGTCTGAGGAAAGACAGTTTCTTAATTTTAGGATGAGAATTCCATCTCTTTATCACTGTTATTTAAATTTATTTATTCGAATGTCGTTTCGTTATTCGATCGTCGGTCCATTCAACTGATAGTCGAATAGTCGACTATTCGTTGACATCCCTAATACATAATTATGGTTATCAACTTATCAGAGTTGTTTACTTTAAAAAAAAAAAAAACATTTTGTTGCCATTGTTGGAAAACAGAAATTTTGTGAAATCTTTCAAGATGCTGTATTATAAAATATCTTCTTTTACAGTTTTTTGCTTGATTAGACTTCTTGCATTTTCATGAATAAAAGTGAATAATAATATTGCATTTTTGTATAAAAATCAGCAAGAATATTCATGAATAGTTCATGAATTTTATTCATTCATGAACATTCCTGAATAAATTTGATAAATTATTCATGAACAGTTCATGAAGATGCAATGAACTTATTATTGGACAATTCTTAAAATGATGAATCTTCATGAATATGACTCTTTATGAATTATTCATGAAAAAATATATTCATGAATATTCATCAACTTTCTTTCATGAATAAAAATTCATGATTTGAAAATGTCCAATAAGTTCATAGGATCTTCATGAACATTTCATGAACATTTCATGAATAAAATTCATGAATAATTCAAGGAAAATCATGAATTATTCATGATCATCTCGCAGGGGAAACTCCAGGTAAAGTGACCCTAAGTGCTGCTCTGCTCTGCAGGCGACACAAAAAGTAGTTTGAGGAGGAAAATTGTGTGACAAATGGGCAAAGGGATGTACGGACCAGGATAACAACAATATAAACGAACTTTCTTTAGTAAGTGCAGATATAATCAAAGTGTAAGAAAGCTATTACAGCTCTTTATTTACTTTAATAAAATGATTATTCTTACATTGGTGCAGGAAGGGTGATCCTCAGCACCGTCACTTCTTCGAAATCCACAGCATTGTGAGTTTAGCTGTACCTTGATGCGAGATTGGTTGCTGGAATAGCGCCAGCCTGTCAAAGCCAGCTGTTCTCGCTGTTCCTGATTGACAGCCAGACAGGCACAGGCAAGAGAAAATTGGATCAAGAAAACCAGGAACAGAATTATCATGTACTTAATATGCTTAGGAAATTCAATATATTCTAACAAAAAACTTAAAATATATCATTAGGAATGGAAATTAAATGTAGAATTTTTAAGTGGCTTACTGCAATTAATTCTGAAAGAATAACTGGTTAATCACATCAAAATGCACAGATTAAGGATCCTCTATACACTGATAAAATTTTTTGGGGACTTTGAGAAAACTATATAGTATGAAGTACATTTTAAAATGACCAGTTCATTTTCAGCATGGGGTGTGTGCCTTTTTTACACAGGAAAAATCTTTAAAGACAATAAAGTACCGATAAAAAATATGATTACAGTGCAGTCTCGTTATTATGGTGATGGTTTTATAAGATAGAATGCTTATTACGTTGTAAATTCAAAGCACAAAACCATTTCTTAACAAATCTATACAAAATAGGACTGTTTATTAGGATGTCCTAAAATGCTGGGACTCGGTATTATGATATAAAAATTCTGTCCAAAAATTTTTCACTTCGTGTTTATTCAGTGCTGATCGACGGTAGACACTTAAGGAGACGCTAAATAAACATTGAAACACCTGTGCTCTGACAGAGTGTTTACCTACAGACCCATTAGGTGATTAGTGGCGCTTGAATGCACACACATCGACTGTTCTACAAGGTCAGCAGAACTGGAGACATTGTGTCAAAGCCATTGTTAAACAATTAAACTCTTTATTTATAAATGTAGTCTCTAGTTTATCTATCTCAGTAAAGTTTATTTTATCTTTTATACTTCGGTTAATAAATAAAATTAATTTATTAAATAAAAGGTTACATTTAATCTAGTGCATGTATGTTAAACACGTATTGTGTAATTTCGTTTGCAATTAAACTGCGGTAATGGACAGCTTGGGTATCAAACATAATTTGGGCCAAATTTGAACTTCACTTATGTTTTAACAGCTTGGACTGTGGCTTGGACTACCTCACAGGTGTCAGCAGAAATTCAAATCAATAATTGCTGAACTGCTAATTGTTCAGTAATTTAAAAAATCAAATTTATTTTGACATATAGCTTGTATGTTGTCAAATTCCGTCCTTAAATATGCCAGTCACACTCTTTTATCAGTTGTTCAATGCTGCTCTAAGCTCATTGAACACCCAAAAGCTCACTAAAAATTGTTGTTGTTACATGTATGTAGTAACGACTGAATACGAAGACGGCTTATTGAATTTTACGAACGCATTATCTAGTGAGCCAGAAACGAAAGTAAAAGGAAATGGCGTAGATAAATGAAAATCGCCGAAGTTTTTATAAGAAATATGCATATTTCTTTTAAAATGAAGGAAATAGAAGAAATATCACCATGAAAATATCTATTCAAGATAAGTGGTTAATAAATTATATATGTATTAGCGTTTTAATTAAGAATTGGAACAGAAGAAGGGAACAAAAGGGCAAAAATACACCTTCCACAAAAATAACAAGTTTTCAAAACGATGTTTTAATGGATTTTATTGGGAACCTTTATTACGTTACCCTCGGTATTTCGATATTTTCCCGTGACAAAATGAACATCGTAATAACGAGACCGCACTGTACTTTCTCAATTGGTGAAAATACATGGAAATAAATAATTCAATTACTCTATCTTTGTCAAATTTGATGCATAGAATAATTGATTTAATTGCAGATTATATTTGTAAAACAGTGCAGATTGCAATTTATCGTAATTTTTGGAAGATAGGACGATACTTTTTTCTCAGAACTGCTGGGGTCATCCTATTTAACGAATCAACCTATCTTAGGCTCAAGTTTACGAAAATTGCCCCAAAATTAGTAAAATTTACGTCAATTTAAAGCAAATCTGTGCCATTTTTGTATTTTTTTAAAATTATTTTACCAAAAAAAAAAATAAAATAAACAATAAAGAATTGAATACTTATTCCATTGATTTCTTACAAAATAAGTTCCATTAAATATCCATCCATGTACAAAAAAACTTATTGTATCATCTAGTAAATAATGTCTCAAAGTATATTTACAACTTGCTATGTCCATCTTGTGAAGTTGGAAGTGACTAAAAATAAAACCGCAACCATATCAAAGTTTAAAATACAGAAGAGTTTTCACAATCGCAGTTGTAATCTTTTTTTACCATTTATTTGTAATGATTAATTGAAATAGTATACCTAAATATTTTTTCATTGTCTTGTGATATTTATTTAAATGTAAAATGCGTGAAATAAATTGTTGCCAGTAAATTCCTAAAATTATTTACCAAATATACCGCTAGTCATAACTATTTTTTTTTTATATCAAGGGGTACACTGAAATATACAAAGATCGGCTTCTAATAGAATTTTAATTGTCTGACAGATAAAGCTTTACCCAGTGTTACGGTGTTTAGTTTTAATTTATTGCAGTTTATTTATAGACAACGAATACAGGATTTCAAATTACTCTTGAAAATGATCACTGGTCGTTATCTTTACATTTCATTACGTAATGTACGTTCAGGCCTCAGTGTTGCACCAAGGTGACGGCGTAGAAGAGGGGATTCAGAAGTCCATATGGCTTAATATCGCCACCTCACCCTTTATGACATGGCCATACATATGGTTTCATTTGCTGCATTAATGTTTTCCTTATTCATGTTGACTTGCAATTGCTGCTATGTTAGCGTCAGTGAACTTGATTTGAATATTTAGTCTCCGCCGACAAACACTCTGGGCAGAGTAATCGTGACTTCTCGGGCATTTCCTACAAACGAAGAAACAACTATGAATGTGTTACATAAATGTACGAATGTGTCCTTGACATCTCCCTTTTTCATAAACATTGAAATAAATGTAGGAGACTATTTATCTGTAGAGTCTGGAGTTCTGCAAGAAAGACATAAGACGCGATTGCCTTCAGAGCCTAATTAGGAAAAATGTCCATGGAAATGTTCATTTACATTAATTGATAGCTCATGAATGAAAACTATCAAGAACTGTCAAAAATTAAAATAATTTATATATTGTTAAAAAAATATATTACAGTAAATCCATAAAAAGAGGACTTTGTTCAATTTTAATTCAGACAGTAATAGGCGCTTTTAATATTTTACATTAGATATTACATTAATATATTTTTATGCTGCTTTATCGCATGAAGATTTTTTTTTTGGCAAACACACAGATGAGATGTCATATCTTTAAAGCGCTATTGTGACGTAATTATGTTTATGTCATGAAGGTCCCTTTTTGGTTGACACAATTCATATTTATTGTATAAACGATATTAATTGCATTCAGAGATGGAATATTTATTTAAAATAGTGCACCACTTCAAGATATAAACCATATGAAGTTAAGCTGAAGACAATTATTTCTGATCTCTCATAATACAGAGTACAAACCATACAATAAAATTTCTTCCAGACTTTAACAAAACAGTCAAAGTTTCAACCAAAACTATAGAAACTTGTCAAAAGCCTGCGCTATGGAAAGTAGTTCGCGTACATTTATATGCATTCAGTAGCATATGTACCAGCACAGAATGTTATAACAAGATTAAGTTATCCTCTAATTCCTCCTTAAATTTAATTCTCAAACAATAATATAAATCATCATTTCCAAAGATTGGTTTGCTAAATACCGTAAGCTTTGGAAGATAAGACGATACTTTTTTTCTCAGAACCGCTGGGGTCGTCCTATTTAACTAATCGACTATCTAAAGCTCAAGTTTACGAAAAATGCCTTCAAATCAGTAAAATTTACGTCAATTTTAAAGCAAATCTGTGCCATTTTCGTGTTTTTTAAAATAATAAAGAATTAAATATTTATTCCATTGATTTCTTATAAAATGAGTTCCATTAAATATCCGTCGATGTACAAAAAGAAACTTATTACCGGTATATTATCTTGTAATTAATGTCTCAAAGTATATTTACAACATGCTGTGTCCATCTTGTGAAGTTGGAAGTCGCAATCGCTTACTAAATAGAAAACCGCAGCCGTATCAAAATTTAAAATACGGAAGAGTTTTCACAATCGCAATTGTAATCTTATTTTACCATTTATTTGTAACGATTAATTGAAATAGTATGCCTAAATATTTGTTCATTGTCTTGTGATATTTATTTAAATGTAAAATGCGTGAAGTAAATTGTTGCCAGTAAATTCCTAAATTTATTTACCAAATATACCACTAGTAATAACTATTTTGTTTTATATCTTAATTAATTATAATAAAACGAACTTATCTTGAATATACATGTACTATTATACGTTTTTGGAAGTTATAAATTCATTTATTCACGATACGTTATTTTTTATTCACAGTTTTTTTTGTTTTTGTTTTACAAAATAAATAAATATTTTTTTAAATGATAGAATTAAAAGCTTCCTCGTACCCAAGGGGTACACTGAATTATACAAAGATTGGCTTCTAATAGAATTTTAATTGTCTGACAGATAAAGGGATATACACTGTGTACACAAAGGTGTTAACACCTGTGTTGGTTAAAATACCTGCGGGGCATGATTAACAGATCCACGTGCCGTTACAGGGGTATTAGTGCTATATATCATTGAACAAACAAAACTGTGAAATTCTTGTTGACTGTTAAATTGCAAATGTACTCTCAATTAAATATTTTACAACAATATCTCATGCAAAATTATAGCATGTTAATATGATTAATTTCATTTGCGCACTGTTACCGTAAGTTTTGGAAGATAAGACGATACTTTTTTTCTCAGAACCGCTGGGGTCGTCCTATTTAATGAATCGTCCTATCTAAGGCTCAAGTTTACGAAAAATGCCCCCAAATCAGTAAAATTAACGTAAATTTTAAAGGAAATCTGTGCCATTTTCGTATTTTTTAAAATTATTTTCCCGAAAAAAAAAAATAAACAAAGAATTAATCAATTATTTATTTCATTGATTTCTTACAAAATAAGTTCCATTAAATATCCGTCGATGTACAAAAAACTTATAATATCATCTAGTAAATAATGTCTCAAAGTAGATTTACAAATTGTTGTGTCCAT